AATCATATTATTACATATTCAACTCACAAACTATATGAAACACATATGTACAAAATAAGTGTTATTATTTCGATATTGGCCATATCTTGTTCAAGTAAGCTTCTTTTAATACAACAAGTGATTCTACGCATTCAGGATCCAGTTGAGACCTTTGTTCTGTAACAACTTGTCCAACCACCGAGAAATGTCGTTCAGATTCTGGTAAAAACCGTCCGATCCAATTCACTCAACTGGTCCGACCGATTTTGCCGGACCGGTTACAACTCTGGTCTATCTAAAATTTATCGAAAGATAACTTTAAATATATCATTGGATAATGCTTGAAAAACTGCATGTATCTGTTATGGTTTAACTGAAATAATATAAGATGAGCTATTTTACGTTTAAAATTAATTAATGGCCGATGAGGTGCACATTATTCCATTGCACATCATTCCAAAAAATTAATTTAGGTTTTGCTTGTAAATTCTCTAATTTTGCAAAGAAAGGTCGTATAGACCTGAGAGACGTCTCATTTCAATCAGAAATTTGCGGGCTACAATTATGACTTATTAAGAAAGGTTTTGGTTGTTTTTTAGAGTTGAAAAATAACCAAAATCTGAAACATGAAAACTGGTTTTCCAGAAAACCACATCTTCGAACGACTAAGGAGCCTCCATAATCGGAATCCACATGGTCATCTATAATCAACTAGATTTCGATCAAAAAGCGTTTTATCACCTCGAGAGGTTCTCCGTGAGACTTAGAGCTGTCGAATGGTAAAAAGGAGTCTTCGTATCCTTCTTGCTTCAGGAGATAATGGCGTTACAAATTTTCTGTTCTCCATCGTACAAACACTTTTTCCCGTAACTGTAGATAAGAGAGATTTATAGAAAGGAAAAAAATACATACTAAATAGAGAACTACTGATGACTAATTGGTATGCAGTGCCCAAAAGTATTTATAGTGTAATAATGACTCAGGTCACATTGTAACGATCACTACAAGAACAGACGGTACTGAGTGAAATCATCATGTATGATGACTAAGCCTCTTTAAGAAGATTCTTTTATTAAACGCTGTTCTAAAACCAGCTAACTTTGTCCATTTGTTACCAAAAAGGAGGAAAAGGAGGGAAAATGGGCAAAAGGAGGAGAATATTTTATTTAGGAGGAATGGAGAGTAAACGAGGACGAATACAATGCAAGAATACAACTCATTTATATTGGTTTAACATTCAGAAAAGATTAAATTTCTCAACAGCAAATGGCAACAATCAGTATAATTTATTTGGTATTAGTGATGAAAATGTTTTTAGGTATCTTTCGAAGCCAAAAGAACATTAGGTCATGCCTCATTTGATTTTGATTTTTCTGAGGATTTCAAATATGCTACCTCTTTTCTCGGACAACTCTTAGTTTTTGAGTAAGACGATAAACTGTTTTTACGTGGGAACTAGCACTTTTTATTCTATTCCATATCTCTTATCTTTGACGGTCCTATCGCATATCAAAATCTGATGGCTTTTTTCTAGAGAAGCGATCTTTGAGATTTTTACATATTCGGATTCAGTGCGACGAGTTACGTTGTACGGTACAAAAATCTCGTCTGCGTCCAGACACTTTTTGGACCCGGATTCTCCACTGTGAGTTTTCACGGTATATTACACTATATTCAATCGTAGACACCAACGACGCCGCTTTTTTCTCGTCTCTTTTATGTTTCATCTTTCTTTGCTTTGATGTTTTTTTTCTTTCTATGCGCACTATAGAGTGAGATATAAAACAAGAAATGGAGAAAAGAATAAATTTTAGCGTTTTATCCAAAAGAAAGGTTGCATTCACTATGAAATTAGTGTATATTCTGGTAATTTCCCAGATTAAAAAGTTAACAAATTTGAAGGTACCCCTCTCCAGTTTTTCTGACAGTTTGTAGGACACAACTTGTACTCTATATCATGCTATTTTTTAAAAAAAGGTACCGTTTAATTTTCGAGTTGTACAGCTGCCAATATCATACCTGAACCGCTTGGGCCCAAAAGAGATAATAAACTGAGTAAACCCAAAAGAGATAATAAAACGAAAAATGTGAAATTCTTGTAATCCCAAAAGAGATAGTAAATTTAATTAGTAATCAAGAACGAAAAAAGAATATAGAATGAAAAACAAACGAAACTTATGGGTATATATTTTATTCTTCATGAAATCAAATCAATCAGAATCAGTATCATTGTTTGATTTTTCATGTTCATGTAAAGAACCGTGAGCTTTTCTTCGTGTTGAATGTTTATAACTTTCAATATCTTTTGTTATTTCATATCGTTGTTTAGCTGCAATAAGCTGTTCTTCATGAATTATACTAGAGGTATAATTTCGGTAATAGGGGGTAGACCCCCCTTAAGAAGTTGTGACCGAAAGTGATATCAGATTTTAAGTAGGTACAAAAAAGCTTGTGATAGATATCATCGGTTTTCGAGTATATAACTGGAACTCCGTCTTCTTCGAAGTCTTGGAGGGAGTTTCATAAAATCGACACAAAAAGTATGCCATTGGAAAGTAGACACTTTGGGTTATACAACCATGTGCTTTTCTCAAAATCGGTATTTTGGACGAAAATTGGCATTTCTGACCCAGAAGAGCCCTAAGCAAATGAATAACAATAACACTAGTACACAAATATGATTTATTTATGTAGTTCAATGTACGCTCAGTTATATTTCATTTTTTCATCAATTATCCTCTCGCTATACTGCCAACATTCTTCGGCTAATTTTTTGTTATAAGCCAATGCACTTGGTTTAGCTTCTTTGCAGTCGGCATGAAATTTTTCTGGTTTAGCTTGATCGGACAATGAACAATATAAACTTGTTTGTATACCTTGATATATTGATTTTTCAACTATATACAACATTAATCGATAAATCAATGTAAATATTTTCGATGAATGAAGACGTGTTATTTCTGGATAAATTAGTCCAGGATGTACCGAATATGCATTTATATCTTGTTGACCGTAACGTTGTTGTAATTCACATGTATGCCATATTTGAGCTAATTTTGATTGACCATATGCTATTTTTGGAAGATAAGGTGACTAGGAAATTCATAATTAATACCATCATCTGCCAAACAGTGTCCGATACTGCTAACATTAACAATAAGTGCTTTTGATCTAATTAATAATGGTAGAAGTCCTTTTGTTAAATAAAATGGCCAATATGGTTTGTACCAAATTGTACTTCTAATCCATCAGATGCCAATGAATGCAGCATATGTACTGTATTCACATGTTGTTCATGTTCAAGAATTTTATCAGCAAAATCTTTTACTACAGAAAGGTTAGATAAATCTAAATTGTAACCAATTATTTTCCCATTACTGATAACATGTGCTTCTTGTTCTAATTCTTGAGCTACTTGTTCTGCTTTACTCTGACCACGTACATGTAAAAATAGTTGCTCTTTTCAATATATTGCCAGAAATCCTATTACAGCTCCTTAAAGTATGAAAAACCTCAAAAGGATTCGTACGATTATAGAAAATTGCATATTATATTCAACTGTTCTGGCCGTTGCTCTAAAAAGAGATCTTGAAACAAAAAGAAGCAACGATAAGATCTACGTTTATTCTTAAAAGAGAGTTACAAGCCTGACGTTTCGACTTGATCCACACTTTTTTAACTGTACAACTATAGTTGTATAGTTGTTGGTTGTCGAAAAAAGTTCGGTGACGTTGGCAAAGGCCGACGCAAAGTTGCCTTGTTTCGCCTGCCAACTGATCCTGTAGTATTACAAAAATGCTGTGATATTTTGTCTCTCAATTTTAATGATCTTAGTGTGACAAAATCAGAACGAATTTCTTCTTCACTCAGCTGTTTTATCTTTTTGAATTGACCTATGTTCCATGTGTCACCATCAATACTAATGGGGACTCGTTCTCTCTTTTGGTGGACACAAGTACATGAATTTCTTTCTTTCAATAAATAGCTTATAACAAATCAGAACGTGTATGTAGTGAACATTTCTTCATCAGTGATATCACGGCCCGTCACCTTCACTTAAGATGGTTCAAAAATTTTTTTTAACTTTAGGAATTTGTGAAGCACATCGTCTAACGTAGTTTTTGAAGCTGATTTCGAATATCAACTTAAAATTTCCAAAAAATTAAATTTTGTCCTCAAAAAATGAAATCTAAATTTTATTTTTTATTTCTTGACATAGATATTTTCGCGAAAAAATTGAGAGATATGGCATTTTGTAGAGAATTAAATATGGTGTATTTACTTTTGAGTTTAGGTGCTTTCCGAGAAAGTTGGTTTTTCGAAAGATCAACTTTTGAGACGGTTTTTTCTCCAAGCCAAAGCGATTTCAAAACGTTTTTCTACAGTGCATCAGAAACATCAGATCAGATACTGTCTACTGCTATCGGAAATATTTTTCTATGATGATTTTGTAATGGAGTTTAACCTTCTGATTTGAAAGAACCAAAAACAGCATGAAATTCCGTTACGGATGTATTCTACCTTTTTTATATGATTTAGGCGTCTAGGGAGAAAACAAAATAGATATTGTGAAAGCCTGAATATTTCTCTACAACTTTCACATCAAGCGCTTCTTTTCAGGATGTCTCCGTTCAGAGCAAAGAACAAACTTCGAACAGCCCTAGAAAAAAGCTTCCATTTTTAGAAATTCCATTACGACCTGTATTTTGGCTGTAAAGTCTGACAGATTCAATGAAATAGACTCCAATTTTTTTGGCCGTCTGACTCTACGTCTTCGGTAAAAATTTCATCATTATCTGCTCACTGGTTGCCGAAATAGAGGGCGCAAAAGTCTAGAAAATGAAATTTCGTTACATCTGGAACGGCCAATCACTTACCTAGAAGGAAAGACGTTATTGGCTAAAGGTGCCGTACCTATTCATTGGGACAAAGCAGGTATTTGAGATTTTATCAAAGATTTCTGTGAAATAATTTCATTGTTTTATGCACATAGATGGTTCTGGCCGAGCGTCGCGGTCACATTCTGAAACATCACTTGGAAGGAACACAGAATCAAGCAGTCGATCTCGCACATTTTCGGCAAACTCCAACATTGCTGATTTTTCACAGGATGATGAGATTCAACTTCTTCATGCAGAGGTACTATCTTTAAAACTATAAACATTGCCTCCGTCACTGGAAATGTACGAGAATGATAATGAATCAACACCAGTATATAGCAATCTTTTTCTATCACCATAATCTATGGATGATTCAAATATCAAAAAGACTCATCGAAATAATGTATTGACCATATTTATTCATTCAGCAATATAAATGCATGATAAATCAGCTTCGGTTTTT